GGGCCCTCGGTGCGGGAGGCCGGAGCCCGCCCGGCCCGGCAGGCAGGCCTGGGCACGGCCCATCACACACCTCTCTGTATTCGCTTTGCGGGTAAAGCCCCCTGGGGGGGTTGCGGATGCGTCGGGTTTCTTTCTTTCTGTATTTGTACGTTTTATTTATGAACGGATTGCACTCGGGTCGGGGAAGGGGCGCTGAGGCCCCCATCCTTCCCGCCGACGCCGACGCCAGGGGCTCGGGACGTCAGGGGTCACCTTCCCCGCCCCTGAACCCCGCCCCCTGGGCCCCGCCCCCACTCGGTTGCCAACTTTCGCCCGTCTATGCCAAAGCCTCGGCGGCGACCCCGCCCCAAGGGCCCGCCCCATTGGCCGCCGCCTTTGTGACGTCACTGCATGCAGCCCCACCCCCTCCCGTCCCTTCCCGGGGCTGCCCGCTTCCTGTCCCTTAGTTAGTCCGACGCCGACTATAGAGCAATAATGCGCACTGCATGCGAAGCTGCCGCCGCCTCTAGAGTTACTGAGAATCAGGTATCCCCCTGCCCTACTCACCCCATAGGCCCCTAGATCAGGGACATTGCGCGGGGCCGGACGCGCAGACTTTCCCCCTCCTCCCTCCCTCCCACGGCAGAGCCCTGCGGGTGTAACGGCTCCAGGGGCAGGGGCAGGGCGGTTGCGCCCGAGACCCCTCCTTCAGTCATCCATCACCCACCGACGGACTGTTCATTAGGCACCTACCATGTGCCAGGCCCGCTGCAGAGTCGGCCAGGGATGCAGCGACCTGCAGGGGGTGCATGTGGGTGACAGGGGTCCAGCAGGTTTGGATGGGCCAAGGAGGGCTGCATCTGCAGAGAAAGGCCTGGTCCCTAGACCCAGCCCTGCATCCCCCTTACCTCTTCCCCGCCCCAGCCCAGGGCCAGTGCTGGGTGCAATTGGGCTCAACCTTTGACTTGCACCTGGCGTTCTCAGCTCAGGTGGCACAGACCCAGGGCCCCAAGGCCCAGCATGAGCAGGGCCACCCATACCACCGACTCTCAGTCCTTCCATCTTCTGGCCTCCCGGGCTCTGCTGTGTGGGGCCAGGGCCCCAGGCCAGACAAAAGGTGCACGCTGGAGTGTATGGCCTGGTCAGCCCCATTCCACTGGGCGCCAAGCTGCTACCCAGCTGCACCTGCCGGAGCGGACTGAGGGCCCAGCCCAGCAGGGCCCATATCCAAAACCCTCTATACCACAGCCCCGTGTCCACACAGCTCCCAAGCGGGGGCCTGCCCCCCTGTGCTGGGCACACCCGCATGCACACGCACACACAGGCACCCCGCCCCATCCCCACACGCCTGTCTACCTACCTAAGGAGAAGGCCAGAGGGCCATAGGCCGGCCAGGGCCTCCCGCTTCTCCCTACACCCCGCCGCCGTGGAAAGCCATGGGCCCCCTCCCGCCCCCATAACTAAGCAGCACAATAACCGACTTAGCGAATTCAGGTAGAAGGAACGTTTAGGTAGCACCTATTTTGTACTGATTCTACGAGTAGGGCCCGAGATGCGGGGGCCCTCGGGTGGGGGTTGCGGGCCGCCGGCCTGCCCCGCCCCCACCCCCGCCTGCGCCCCGCCGCCTTGTACATACTCCCACCCGGAACAGGCCGGGATTTTTACTCGGGCCGCGCCCCTCTTCCGCCCCCGTTTGGGGCTGGGCCGGCCGGACAGACGGACGGACGGACAGACCTCCTTCCTAAGCACAATAGCACCAGCTCCCCGGAGCGCCGCACCTCCACGAGGAGAATAAATGCCACTCTTGATAGAACTTGGAGTGTCGGGTTGATGTCTGCAGCACTGGGCCTACAGGGGCGCTGGGATGTCGGAGGGCCGTCTGTCTAGTCCTGCTGCGTCCCGGCGGGGCTGGTGCAGGCCGGGCGCTGGCAATGGCAGCCTGCCCATGCAGCCCCGGGGGCAGCTCACTGCCTGTGTCAGGCGTGCCAGTGTCCCTTCTCGGGAGAGGGCTGTCTTCATCCTGCCAGGAGGGCCGGCTTGACAGGCCGAGGCGTGGGAGGACTCCCCTGAAAGCAAAGCAGCTGGCATTTGTCCAGTGGCAGGTTAATCCACCCTGTGCCAGGAGCTGAGGGAGCCAAAGGTCTCCTGCCTGAGGCCAGGCCCAGCCCAGAAGTGACCTAGACTCACCTGAGTCGGTACAGCAGGGCCTGCAGACCTCTGGCCTACTCTCCCTGCAGGGGCTCCTGCTGCCCCTCGGGGCTGACGGCCACCAACGACCCCTCCTCAATACCAATGGAAAAAAGGGGGACAGCAGAAGGTGCAAGGTCTAGCCCCTTCCTGTTCCGTGCTGCCCACATCCTGACCCCCGCAGTGTGAGGAGGCCTCTAGGGACAGCTGACCCATGCTGGTTCTGGGGAGGTGCCACTCAGGTGACAGAGAGGCTTCCACAGCCACTCACAGCTCTTGAGCTCTAGACAGGTTGAACCAAACTGAGGTGAGGGGCAGGACTGCGCTGGTCAGGGGCAGCCCCGGGACAGGGTCGCCTGCCCTAGCAATGCCTTCTGATACCCAGGTAGGCAGGTATGAGCTGAGGGGCCTAGAGTCTTTGGAGACATGCCGTCAAACCAGGTCATCCCAGAGCAAGCTGTGTGAACCCTGGCAGGAGACAGGTCTGCCCAGACTTCATCAGGGTGGGCGGCCCAGGTAAGCCTGTAGGCTGCTCAGGGTGGGGCTCAGGCGGAGGTGGGCGCCCTCTTTGGGGAGCACTAGGAGCCTGTGGAAACCTATGGAGTGAAAGCCCCTGTTCCCGGGAGAGGTCAATGTCCTGGACCTTTCACTGTCCCCAGGCTGGGGAAGGCTTTGTAGGAAGAATTAGCCTCAGGGAGGACAGTTTACCCGAGGCCCGCCTTTGACAGCAGCCCTTCCCCACTAACCCACCCGCCCCACCCCTGAAGTCACTCCCGGGGGAGTGTCCAGGCCGGAGGAGCGCTCCTTCCTCGCCAGCTCCTGGTTGTGGACCGGAGGTCTCTGCTTCTGCAGAGGGGCACTGGGGTGGAAGGGCAGGCCCTGCCTCCCCGGGCCTGTCCCTCAGTCCCCATAATCTCCACGGACAGGACCCTGCATCCCGAGCCGGGTCTGCCCGCTGGCCTCCCTTCTTAGGCACCCACCGGCAAGGCCCGACCTCTGGCCCCTGCGCAGGTGCAGCGCGGGCAGCGGTACCGCCCTCTCGCGCGCCCGGGTCGCCAGGCACCCCGCCTCCTCCTCCCCCGAGGTGACTGGGGCCGCGGGGGGGGGGGGGCCGAGCCCCCACAACGCCTCCCGAGGCCCTGCCCACGCGGCGCAGGCCCCGCCCCGGCGCCGAGGCCCCTCCTCATCGGTGCTCCCGCAGCCCGCGCCTGCCCAGCGCCTCGCTGTCCGGCTCCCCGCGCGCCCCTCTCGGCGCCCGAGCCTCGACGGCCCGGCCGGGGCCCCGCGGGGCTCCTCCTCCCGGTGGTGCCTCGTCCACTCCGGTCGCTTCACTCCTGCTGCCACTTGCCAAAGAACGGCTTGGAGCCGGTTGTGCACGCGGGCAGCCGCTTCCAGCCTCACGGTTCCCGCTTCCTGGCCGCTGCGCTCATCCGAGGCCGACTGGGAGCCTGAGTCCTCAGTCTTCCCCGGCAGCCGGGGCGGGCCCCGTGGCTCTGGGCTCCGCACTGGAAGGACAGCGCAGCCAGAGGGCACGCGGAGACCGTGGGCGCGCGTGGCAGCGCTCTCAGGCACACTCCTACGCTGCGGGCGCCCGCGAGGACACCCCTTTGTTCACCTTCGCTCGGGATCAGCATTCGGCAAGGCCTAGCGCAGCCTGGCGCAGGCCAGCTCGTGCACAGGCGCCGAGGTCTGCAGGACTGGATGGGAGAGCAGGTGGGCCGCGCAGGCACGTGGGAGGGGCTCTCCTGCCCAGGCCCGCAGACCCTGGGGCGGGTCACTGGAAGACACGGCCCGGTAGCCCCAGCCTGCCAGGTACGGATGCCGGGCTATCAGTCCCCGATGGCCCAGTGGCAATAGGGACGTGTCACCGAGGGCCCAGACACTGTGATGAAGGCGGTGGCCAGTCCGCACGAAGACGCCGCTAACCTCAGGCCAACACTCTCGGTGTATTTGCTTCTGGAGAGGCGCTCTTCTTGGCCTTGCTCACCTCGGGCATGAATGGCTAATGGAGTTTTGCTGCTGGGTAAACCTGGCTGAGCCCCCAGGAAAGCCTCGCACCCTGAAATCCAGGATCCTCACACTCCAAGCCCCACGCACAGATGCGTGTTAAGCTAAAGTGGGAGGGAGGCGCACTTGCCACCTCGCAGTCGTGCGAGACACGGGAGCCGCTGGGTCTCCAGGCTCCCCAGGCCCTGGCAAAACTAGCCTGGGTGGAAAGGATGGCGGCCCCGCAAGCCTGCGGAAGGGGCCACCCGGGGAGGGGAGTCCCTGTGCCCGCGGGGCCCGGGGCTGTGGAGCCACCCGGCAGGGCGGGCGTCCCAGGGACCGGGGCCTGGGCCTCTGTCCTGCTCCATCTTTCGGTCTGGCGCTTGTGTGGACAACCTCAGCCGAGGAAAAGTAGGTGCTAACTAGAGAGCTCCCCGACGTGCGCTCGGGACCCACACGCTGGGTGGAGCAAAAGGCGAGTACCGCGCCCCGGCCCGCCCCGGCCCGGCGGACGCTAACTCCGGAGGCCCCTCGGAAACGATTACGCCCCGGGCTCCGCGCCTGGCAGAGCAATGGCGCAACCCTGCGTTTCCAGAGGGATGAGCAGCGGGGAAGCGGCCGGGGGAGCTCCGCGGAGGCGCCGCGGCCCGCGGGGAGGAGGCTGCGTCAAGGGCCGCACACCCCAACCCTGTCCTCCCCGCGTCCAGGGCGACCCCGGCTCCCAGCGTGCCGCGCGCGGGGCGACCACGACTCCCAGGGTGCCGCGCGCGGGGCGACCACGACTCCCAGCGTGCCCCGCGCGCTCGCGGACTACAAATAGGCGCGCGCCGCCGCGGCCGGCCAGTGAGCGGCTCCCAGAGCGACGCGCCCGCGCTCCCCGGACGGCCCGGAGGGCGCGCGCTGATTGGCGGCCCGGGCCAGCGCGCGGGCTACGGCGGCCGGCAGGGGGCGGTGGCGGCCGTTGGCCGAGGGGCTGGAGGCGGGGCCGCCGGCCTTGGGTGCTGCGAGCCCGGCGGACCACGACTCTGCCGGGACAGGGTGCAGGTTGAGGCCATGGGCGACCGCGGCGGCGCGGGCGGTTCCCGGCGCCGGAGGACGGGCTCGCGGCCCTCGAGCCAGAGCGGCGGCGGGCCCGCGGCGGCGGAAGAAGAGGTGCGGGCCGCGGGCCCCGGGGGCGACGCGCCGGCCGCCGACAAGGACGAGAGCCGCGGCTCCGACGCGGGCGGCAGCCACTGGGACCTGAGGTAGCGACGCGCCTCTCCCTCAGCCCTGAGCGCAGACCCCTGTCCGGGCCCTCCGAGTGCCCGGGCGCTCCCCGACTGGGCGTTGGCAGGTGTTCCCTGGGCCCCGTGGGGGAACTGAGGCACGGACCGGAGAGCCACCTGCCAAGGTCACCAGGTGGAAGCGCCCCGCCTCCAGACGCCCCTCCGCGCAGCCCGGGGGCGCCCGGCCCGGCCCCCGTGCGCGAGGAGAGGAGGCCGGGGAGGCCCTCGGGGGCTTGCTGGGAATGCTGCCCGCGGCCCGGGTCGGCCCCCTGAGCGGCCGTCTGGTCCTGCACGCCGTCCCCAGAGTTGTGTTCATGGGGGCCCCTCCCTCACCCAGAGCTTGGCTGGCCCGGGGCCCTGCTCATGTTAGCAGAGGTGTCCTCTTGCGGGGCAGAGTCGGGCTCTCCCCGGGGCTCTCACCCCGCGGGCGCGGTGCCCACAGGTGGGGCAGCCTGTGTAGCTGAGGGGCTGGCAGGCAGGCGTGGGGAGCGGGTCGAGCTGATGGGCGGACTTGGCTGGGTCAGGGCTCCCTCCTGGAAGCTGGCTCCACAGCCTCCCTCTGCCACCTCCAGCCTCGTGCTCCAGCTGCTGACCTCTGCTCCGGCCCAGGGGGCCTCGGGGGCTTTGGCATGGGGAGTGCCTTTGGGGCTACAGGTTAGCACGGAGGAAGTGGGCAGTTGGTCAGTGTGCCTGCCAGGATCTGCTGTCTTGGTAGGAACAGAGGCTTTCTTCACCATGGTGAGGGGGGGGTGAGGGCAGCTGGGGTCCATGCCCTCGGGGTGCTCACAGTCCACCTGGAGATAAGGTAATCTCAGCACTGAGCAGCGTGGGCAAAGGTCAAGCCCAGAGTCTGCAGGCGCCGCAGGCAGGCGCCGCGGAGGAGGAAGAGGAGGAGAAGGCGGCGGCCTGCGGGCCAGTGAGGGAGGCTGCAAAGTCCCCGCTGCTAACTGCCGTCCAGGAGGCAGGGGCATGGCTAGCACCATCTCCTCCAGGAGTGGCAGGACTTGTCTTTTGTGTAAGATGGGGGGCGCTGGCTTTGGGCCCAGTGGCCACTGCGGGACAGGCTCCTCCTGCCTCCACAGGGCCAGGTGTCGGGAAGCCTCGCCTGTGCTCCTGATAGCTGGGCTGAGCCAGTGCAGCCCTGTCTCCCCAAACTCAAGGTCAACCCCCAGGAGGAGGATCTGGAGATGGCTGGGATGGCGGGGATTAGGGATTACACCCCTCCTGGTCCCCAGGCCAGGCAGGCCACGTGCGCTCGTGCCTTCCCGAGCCTTCAGTTTCCCCATTCCCCCTTACTCCCTGGCCCAGGCCTCCTCCCCTCCCTACACTTCCTGCTCACCTGGGCCTGGGCAGGTGGGTCAGGCCCTGGGTGTGTCCCAGACAAGGTGTGGCCATGGGGCAGGAAGGAGGGGGCGCCACACACAGCGCCCTGTCCCAGGGCATGTGGCCCTTGGTTCATGGGCACTCCAGGCAGAGCCTTCTGGGTGCAGGGTCCCCCCCAGGGTGTCTGTTCCTGGGTCTGAGCATGTGGAGGGCCCACCTCCTCACCTTGTATCCCAGGAGTCAGCTCAGAGGCTGGGTGAAGGAAGTGCTGACAGGGTGGCAATGGGGAGGACAGCTGGCCCTGGAGCTGGACCCTGAGGTCCCCAGGTGTGACCCTCACTGGGGGCTGTGTCCCTGGGCAAACTTTGGCAAGCCTAACTCTCCCCGTGCACCTACCTCCCAAAGGGGATGTGACACATGTGATGAGTTACGATGACCGTGCTGGCTGGGTGGACCTGGGGAGCAAGTGTGGGACGGCTGCAGGGCACAGGGGTGTGGGCGGCTGCTGGTAGCAGGGGAGAGGGCAAGGCCAGCTGTCTGCCCTCTGGTCCACTGCGAGCCGTACCGGCAGGGCTGGACCTTGTGGGCTTTGGTGGGTGGTGGGCTTCCTCCCCTGGGTCTCTGACCTGTGGGGAAGTGGGGTGCCTGGGGTTGGGGTGGGAGGAGCTCCGTGGAGGGCCTGGGGAGTGGGGGTGGGCAGGTTGGGGAGCCCTCGAGAGCCGGACAGAGCCTCACGGCAGGGATCTGAACATGTTTTTATGATGTTGTTTGGTGTCAGATTTGGAAAATGATACCCCTTCCCCAGCCCTGTTTTCATCTTAGAGATGGCTGAAAATAAAGCCAGCGTGGTCTTGGCGGCCCAAAGGGGACAAGGGGTCACATTGTCCTGAAACGTTCGCTGGATGGATGTTGACGTGCAGATGGGGGTGGCCCTGGGACGGCTCCAGTGAAAGCGAATGGGCTCACACTCGGCAGAGGGGCTGGCCCGGGGACAGGCCCGGAGACTGCTCTCTAGGGAGTGGGGCCTTGACCTCTGCTCGCCTCACAGAAAGGCAGGCACAGAGACTCGGGGAGAGGAGGGCCTCAGTGGTCCCACCGCAAGGCCCAGGACAGACAGACAGACCTGGGAGCTGGACACGAGGAGGCCAGGCCTGTGGCCGGGACAGGCTGGTGGGCCAGGTGCAGCGCGGGCCTTGCCTCCACCCTGGCTATGGGGTGCCCGGGAGCATCGCAGCCTTCCCAGCCCCTCCCTCCCGGTGGGGCCGTCTGGGTGTTCACCACAGCCGTAGCAAGGCTGGCCACTGAGGCAGGGTCAGCCCTGAGAGATATCTGCTACGGGGCCCCCACTGTGTCCTCCTGAGTCCGCTTGTCCTGCCTGGGTGCCTCACGAGAGGGAGACATGCGTGCACAGGAAGGGAGGGGAGGCCCAGGGCTCACGTCTTACAACACTGGAGGCCTTGCTCAATGCTGTGTGGGGCTTCCTGGTGGCACGGCAGCCGGGGTGGGTAGGGCAGGCCGAGCGCCCCAGGGGCTGGGCTGCGGCTAGGCTATGGGTAGCCCCAGCCACCCTGTGGCCCTTCTTCTTTTTTTTTTTTTTTTTTTTAAGATTTTATTTATTTATGAAAGACACAGTGAGAGAGGCAGAGACACAGGCAGAGGGAGAAGCAGGCTCCGTGCAGGGAGCCCGACGCGGGACTTGATCCTGGCACTCCAGGATCAGGCCCTGAGTCAAAGACAGATGCTCAACCGCTGAACCACCCAGGCTTCCCTCCCAGTGGCCCTTCTGCTACCTGTGTCACCCTGAGGATCAGGCGGGGATGTGCGGGCCGCTTCTGCTTCCCCTTTCCCATCAGGTGGGAGCTCTCCTGGGTGGGCCCCGAGGTCGCCTCTTCCTGCTTCTGCGGGGACCTCGCTGCCATCAGGCCCCTCTTGCCTCTTCGGCCGGGGCAGGAGCACAGTACTTACCCTGCAGTTGAACTGGGCCGGGTTCTACTCTTTTAGAAACAGTTGGAGGCTACAGGAGCGGATGAGGCCCGGGCCCCTGCCCCCAAGGCGCATGTGCGTGTTCAGGTGCTCAGCTGGCCCAGGGCCCTGCGCCCACTCAGAGCTGCATGCGCCCAGCATGGGGAGGAGGTGGTTTGAGGTGGGGGCCCCTCGGGGCACTGGGCAGCGGGGTGGGCTGATGAGCAAGGCAGGTCCAGGCGCTGCCCCCATGTCTGCAGAATCGCAGGCTGGGCCTGGCTCCCAGAGCCCGTCGCCCCCTGTAGCCATTGTGCGTGATGGCGCCAGGAGCCTCTGGGGAGCACGGATGGGCTCTTGGCCTGCGGTGCTCCAGCTCCCTGTCGCCCTGGGCTGGGCAGGGCCAGCTGTCCTCCTGTCCTGGAAGGACAGGCTTCTGGGTGGTCCTGAGGGCTTGGTCCTACCTGGCCCCCCTGTGATTGTGGAAGGGGAGTAGGACGTGTGGGCGGGAGAGCGGGCAGGGTGGTCATAGGCGGTCCTGCTGGGCTACAGTAGACGACAGTTGCCCTGTGGAGGGGCTGGGGTCCGCCTGAGGCTGGCTGCTGAGGGGCTGGACTTGGCTGGGCCCCTGGGCTCAGGGGGCGGGGGGTGAACCCACACCTGGTCCTGGCCCGGGGTTCTCACCGCCCGGGGGACAGGGGGAGCCCACGCTGCTCCGCTGGTGCCTGCTGGTGAGTGTCTGTCTCCCGCCCTACCAGGTGCCACCGCCTGCAAGATTCTTTGTTCAGCTCTGACAGTGGCTTTAGCAACTACCGTGGGATCCTGAATTGGTGTGTGGTGATGCTGGTGAGTAGGCTGGTGTCTGGAGCAGGTGTCCCCGTGGCAGCTGGGGCCTTGGCCCGAGGCTGGCCTTTGCCTGGGCATAGGCTCTGCCCTTGGGGGAAGGCGCCAGAGCTTTGGTGTCCGGGCTGCGTGGGCGAGAGGTTGTGGCGGTGGTCCCTGCATGGGCCACACGCCTCTCCTCCGTGTTGAATCCCAGAAACAGCAGGTGTGGGTGGTCTTGGGGTCCAGAAAGAGTCTCTTCTGTTCCAAGGGGTCCTCATGGGCTGGGATCCCTGGCAGGCCTGGTCGGGGGGGAGCAGGGGTAAGCTGACGGCTCTTGGGCTCAGCCTGGCAGCTCCGGGCCCCGACAGCGCGCTAGGCCTTGGCTCCAGGTGCCCCTCTGCGTCCACCTCCGCGGGTGGCCTGGCTGCGGCCCCGGCCTGCTGGCACCTTGGGTGGGGCTGCACTTGCAGCCCGGGAGCAGCCCGCAGGGTGGGGCAGGGGGCAAGGGCCTTGGGCCCAGCTCCTGCTGTGCTGGCTGATATGGTCAGAGGCCTTTGACCCTTCCCTGACATCAGCACCTCTGTCTTGGGTGCGGCTTGTGGTTACTGTGTGGAAATGGCTCCTGGCACACCCACATCCTCCTGTCATGGCTCCCTGCTCCGTGGAGCGGTCTGGTGGGCGGGAAGCTGGCTGGGCAAGGGGACAGTGGCTCTGACACCTGCCTGACCCTCAGATGTGTCCTTGGACCCCGGAGGCCTTCCGCATGGGCCGCGTTTGTAGAGGCAGCCACGGAGGGCAGGCCCTGGGCCACTTGGCAGCACTGCCTGTTCCCTGCAACCCTTTGGGCCTGCCTGGCCCTTGGCGCAGCCCCAGAACCTTTCCCCTGCTCTGCTGCCTCACCGCGCCCCTGCTGGATGAGATGTGCACCCCGGGGCCGGGGCTGCGCTGCGCTCCCTCCACCAGCGCTGCCCACCAGCAGCTCTGGCTCCTGCCTGCTGTGGGCTCTAGGAGGGTCCACCACTGGGCGTGGTGGCGGCACATCTGTGCCCCGCAGGAGGTTGGCCCATGTGGCTGGGGGAGGGCGGGCTCCTGTGTCTCTCTGCGCGTTACCTCCTTGTGAAGCCTTCCCTGACCACCCAGGTAAGGGATCCCAGCAGTGTCCCCTGACCAGCATCGCTATTTCACAGAGTGTGCCGCAAGCCCTGCTCAGGGCCTGAGTTGAGGGCACCCGGCAGGGTCTGTGTTCTCTGGGGTGGAGCAGGAGACCCTCGGGCCTGCAAAGGGAATCCATTCCCCAGCCCCGGGCCAGACTCAGGAGCCCATCTTGCTGGGGCCGCGCTGGGGCCATAGGCCCGGGCTTGGAGAGCAGAAGAGGGCAGTCCGGCCTCAGCTGCCTAGCCCCCAGGACTGGTCAGCTTCTCCCCACTCCCCGGGGTGTGGGACATCCTGGGGCCTTGGGGCCCTGGCCTGCTGCTAGGGAACAGGTCATCTGTGCTGCTGGTACTGGGGTGATGGGGGCACTGCTGCAGGACTTCCTGTCCCCGCAGTGGTGTGGGGTGAGGTGTGCAGGTCAGATGGGTCACAGGATGCCGCCTGGACACCCAGGGCTCTTGCCCCTCCGGGTGCTGAGAGGAGCTGGGGGGCAGCCCGTGACCAGGGCTAATGGGGCTGTGCCCTTCCTCTCTCTTGCAGATCTTGAGCAATGCACGGTTATTTTTAGAAAACCTCATCAAGTGAGTGTCCTCCCCAGGGCCCTGGCCCCGCCCCTGAAGCCCCTCCCCACCTGCTCAGGCCTTCATCCCCCGGTCCCCAGGTACGGCATCCTGGTGGATCCCATCCAGGTGGTGTCTCTGTTTCTGAAGGACCCCTACAGCTGGCCTGCCTTGTGTCTGGTTATTGGTGAGCTGGGCGCCAAGGAGGCCCTCGGGTGGGGAGGGCCAGGGGTGAGCTGCGCCTGAACCTGGGGCACTTCCGTCCTCAGTGGCCAATGTCTTTGCCGTGGCTGCGTTCCAGGTGGAGAAGCGCCTGGCGGTGGTAAGCAGTGCCGGGGTCCCCTGTCCTGCCCAGAGGTCGGCTCCCCTCGCTGGGCCTACGGTTCAGGCTGCGAGTAGCTCTCCTGGGAGGGGCTGTGCCCCAGGCCTGGCGGCCCTCCCCCTGGGGGCCCTTGGCCGAGGGAGTGGGCGCACTGGCTGAGCACTGTGCTCCCTCCATCCCAGGGTGCCCTGACGGAGCAGGCTGGGCTGCTGCTGCACGTGCTCAACCTGGCCACCATCCTCTGCTTCCCGGCAGCCGTGGCCTTGCTGCTCGAGTCCATCACGCCAGGTGCGCCGCATCCTTCGCCCCAGTCCACCCCAGGGGCCTGCAGGAGAGACCCCGGCCTCCTGTGAGCCGTGTGGGAGGGCTGTGGCCTGAGCCTGCCTCTCCCGCAGTGGGCTCCGTGCTGGCTCTGATGGTGTACACCATCCTCTTCCTCAAGCTCTTCTCCTACCGGGACGTTAACCTGTGGTGCCGAGAGCGGAGGGCACGGGCCAAGGCCAAGGCTGGTGAGCAGCTGCCCGGGGTTGGGGCCTCAGCACTCGGGTCACTGGTCATGGGGGTCCAGACCTGGGCCGCAGCCAGGCCTCACCGCCCCTCGCTTGCCTGTAGCTCCCGCAGGTAAGAAGGCCAACGGGGGAGCTGCCCAGCGCATGGTGAGCTACCCTGACAACCTGACCTACCGAGGTAAGGCCCTCCCGGGGCCGGGGCAGCGGGGGCAGCCCTGAGCCCTGACGGGCACTGGCCTCACTCCCGCCCTCACTCCCTCCCACAGACCTGTACTACTTCCTGTTTGCCCCTACTCTGTGCTACGAGCTCAACTTTCCCCGCTCTCCCCGCATCCGAAAGCGCTTCCTGCTGCGGAGGCTCCTTGAGATGGTGAGGACGGAGGCTGGCTGGGGCGGCTTGGGGGCTGCTAGGTGCTGGGGGGTTTGGGGCGGGACAGTGGCTAAGGGCCGGGGGCCTTAGCCTGGTGTTCTCTGCTTCCTCCCTCAGCTGTTTTTGACTCAGCTGCAGGTGGGGTTGATCCAGCAGGTACTTGGGGCGGGGCAGCGGTGGTGGGAGGGGCGGGTGCGCTCCCTAGCCAGGGAGCTGACACTGTGCCCTCCCCTGCAGTGGATGGTCCCCACCATCCAGAACTCCATGAAGCCTTTCAAGGTGAGTGGTGGGGTTCCCCCGGGGCGGGGGGCGCGGCGGCCGGGCGCGGGGCCAGCTGAGCTCTGTCTCTGCAGGATATGGATTACTCCCGCATTATCGAGCGCCTCCTGAAGCTGGCGGTGAGCGGCCGGGCCGGGCGGGGCGGGGCGGGCAGGGCGGGGCGTGTTCTGCAACCTGGCACCTGCCTCCCCCTGCAGGTCCCCAATCACCTCATCTGGCTCATCTTCTTCTACTGGTTCTTCCACTCGTGCATGAACGCCGTGGCCGAGCTCATGCAGTTCGGAGACCGGGAATTCTACCGGGACTGGTGGTGGGTGGCCGGGCCTGGCGTGCCGGGGGCGGGGCCTGGGCGGGGCCGGGCCCGCTCCGTCACTCGCTGCTCCCAACCCCCAGGAACTCGGAGTCGGTCACCTACTTCTGGCAGAACTGGAACATCCCGGTGCACAAGTGGTGCCTCAGGTGGGCGTGGGCAGGTGTGCGGTGGGCGGGTGGCCGGGCGGAGCCAGGCACCCGTCCCACGGCCCCTCCCTCCGCAGGCACTTCTACAAGCCCATGCTCCGGCGTGGCAGCAGCAAGTGGGTGGCCAGGACAGGGGTGTTCTTCGCCTCCGCCTTCTTCCACGAGGTGAGCGCTCTGCGGGCCCCCGGCCTCGTCCCTGGGTGGTGTGGCCGAGCTTGGCTGACGCCCTGTCACCCCGTTGCAGTACCTGGTGAGCATCCCACTGCACATGTTCCGCCTCTGGGCCTTCACGGGCATGATGGCTCAGGTGAGCGTCCCTCCCCAGGCCCCCCCACCCCGCCCCCAGGTCCCTGTGGCCAGCTGACCTCCGCCCATGTCTCCAGATCCCGCTGGCCTGGATAGTGAGCCGCTTCTTCCAGGGCAACTACGGCAACGCAGCTGTGTGGCTGACACTAATCATCGGGCAGCCGGTGGCCGTGCTCATGTACGTCCACGACTACTATGTGCTCCACTATGAGGCTCCCGTGGCGGGGGCCTGAGTTGCCTCGGCTGGTCCTCACGGCCGCCTCCTCACCTCACTGCCCACGGCCAGAGCCAGCCCCCACCTGCGTGCTGGGGAGGGGGGCTGGCTCTCCACTGCCTCCTACCAGCCCCCAGAAGGCCTCTCTGCCCCTATGGGGCTCCCTCCTGCCCCGCTCAGGGAATGGCAGACCAGGCACAGGCCAGAGCCCAGGGACCTGTGCCAATCTGCCCAGGGGTTGAGGGAATCAATAAAGTGCTGTCCAGAGTGGCTACCCTCAGCCTGCTGGGGTTGTGGGGTGCTAGTGGCGCTCTTGGGAGAGGGTCTGCGTCCCGCTGGCCCTGTCAGTGCCCACACCTCCTGGGGGTGCCACTTCCCGGGAGGCAGCCACGGTGACTGATGGAGAGGCCCGCTCCTCCCTGCACCCCCTACCGCCCAGCAAGGCTCAGCTGAGGTCCCACATCCTGTCCTGTACCCGCCCCTGTCAATCTCGAATGTGTGAGCGTGTGGGGTGGGAGAGTGGCTCGGAGCTGTGTGTTCCTGTTCTGGGGCCTCAGCAGGGGGCCCAGACCTTGCAGCAACGGCCGTGATCTGGTGTGTGTACGAGGCCCAAGGCCCAGGACCAGCTGCTGGCTGGCAGAGCCATGTGCCTGGGGCCTTCTCTGGGCTGTGGGGTCACAGCAGTGGCCCATGGACCCTCAGGCATGCTCTGGGTCTCCTGGATGAGACAGGTGGCCTGGCCAGCCCCTGACCCGGTGTCCCTCAGGAGCACACACGCATCCTCTGCCCCTGCCAGGACCCCGGAGGAACCCTCAACTCCCCTGGGTTGGAGCCTGTTCCCTCAGCTCTCCCCGCCCCAGGCAGGGCAGTTCACACAGCCTCAGGACACCCCGCTCCCAGGCCTGACCACCTGCCAAGCCTGAGAGGTGGGGACAGCCTACCTCGGCCGGTGGGCTCTACTAAAGACCCTGTGGCTAAGGCAGGCGTGTGACAAGGTGCCTGGGCGGTGGCCTCAAGAGCCCTGTAGCCCCTGCCTCCTGGTAGCTGTCACCCTGGGCCGTGCTGAGGATGGGGGGTAGGGGACGGACGCCGGGGGCACAGCATCAGGTGGGCTGCTCTGGTCTGTCGCCCCCCACCCCTCCCCTGCTCCCAAACCAGCCCAGTGCCTTGAGACTGCGTGAAGAGTAGGGACGGCTGTGCCAGGAAGATGCGCACGGCGTGCCCGTCCAAGCCCTCCGCCCGCCCCCCCGCCCCGGTCCCCTTGTGGGGAGGGTGTTCCAGCGGGTCCATCCCACTGCCCCCGTCCCATCCTTTAATAAAGAATTGTGAGCCACACGGGTCCTGTGGAGTCAGGTGCGCACAGCTCTGCTCTGGACATCTGCCTTCCCTCCAAGGCGGCCACCACGGCCCAGCCCCCCAGCCCCCTCCCCACCTGGGGGTGGCGGGAGGAAACACGCGGGAGGCCACAGTGTACAGTCTGTCCTTTATAGGTGTCTGCCAGTCTCGTCCGTCCATCCGTCCGTCCGTCCGTGTGTGTGTATATCTCTATTGAAGGGGTGAGGGGGACTCTCGTGTAAAAACCCAAAATCCAATCCTGACTGAACCCCCGCAGTGCTGGTCAGTCCAAGGTGGCTGTAAAGCCTCAAGCCAGCCAGGCACATGGGGCTGCAGCCCTGGCTGCCGACTGGGGTCCACGCCTAGCCCTTGGCCAGCCTTCCTCCTGGGGCCTCTAGGAGACAGTGGGGTCCTTGGCTTTGGGGGGCTCAGAGCCCGTCAGCAGGGAGATGGTGGGGTCATCTGTGTAGTCGTCCCCCTCGGAGAAGTAGGAACCCTCCCCCAGCTCGAAGAGCACGGGCAGGTCGCTGCTTCCCATATCCACGGAGCCCGGGTCCACCAAGAACAGGGGTTGCGCCGTGTAGTGCACCAGCTGCTTCCCTGGGGGTGGGGGCTGGGTCAGGGCACAGGTGTGGGGGTCACGGGTGGGGCGGGCAGGGGCTTGGGGCTCGGCTCACCTGAGTCAGGGCTGCTGTTCTCTGCCTCGAGAGGCCTGGGCGGCTCCTGGGGGGAGAGGAGCTCCTGGATCTGCTGGGGAGCAGGGGGCAGAGTGAGGCTCCGGCTCCCCGCCCCACCCCACACCCCTGTCCCCTGCCCTGCCTACGCACGCTGGCCAGGCTGCTGTCAAGGTCGGGCAGGCTCATGTCGGGCACCGTCACGGAGGGGCTGAACAGCTGCAGGGAGGGAGGGCAGTCAGGCCACGCTGGGAGCCTACAGCCCACGTGGGGAGGGGAGGGGAGGCACTCACGTCCAGCAGGGCGCTTGTGTCCACGCTGAAGCCGTGGCTCGTCAGCATGGTCTGCAGGTTGTCCAGGTTGGAGTCCATGGCGTCCAGGTGGTCACTGAGCTCCGTCCTAGCCGGAGTGGGTGGGGCAGGTAAAGTGGGGCTCTAGGCACCCCCAGCCGGATGCCTTCCTGCCGGTGCTCACACCCACCATCCAGAGAGGGGCTGCCCGCAGCGATGCCCCACCCTGCCTGGGCTCCCGGGGGGCCCCGCTGCACAGCGTGTGCAGGAAAGGGCCAGGGCCTCGGCCACGGCGGGGACGGTAGCTCAGGCCACACCACCGGCCGTGTCACCATGAGGCCCAGTAAGGCCTCTGGCGGCACTTCACACTGGGCCAACGCGGCGGTCGGGAGGGGGCAGGAGGGGTTCAGTGTGCAGGACGGGCTGGGGGCAGTTTTCAAGACTTGACAAGGTCTTGCCTTTCCACTGGAAGGCGGTAGGGACGGGAAGGGGTAACTGCAGCAGGGTGTGGAGGGATGGTCCGTCGCGCGCGCGCGCGCGCGCGTGCGTATCCATCCCTGTGCATGCTGAGAAAGAGGCCTGGGTCAGGGGGCTGTGGCCAAGAAGGCCCTGGGCCATTAGACGGGCGGCCACCAGGCCAACTCTGGGTGGTGTCCTTGGGGCCCTGCCCCATCCCTCCCTGCCCCGCAAGGAAGCCAGTGTGCACAGCAGCCAGGGCCCTGGCTGCACCGGTGGCAGCTGCCAGGCTGGGAGGCCCATCCTGGTCAGTCGGCACCTGGGCCACTGGCTCGGGCCCCAGAGCCTGGGGTGGGGGTTGCTCCCTCGCTGCAGAGGGCCCGTCGCCTGTTCACCGGGCGGGGCCGAGTGCTCATGGCCAGGCCAGGGACTGGTCCGAGGCTGGGGAGGGGCCTGAGCTCTGGTGGAGCCCTCCTCCCTCCCCAGTGGGGACGGCGCTAACCCTGGCTGGACTCGGCCATGCAGAGAGGAGGGGCAGGGGAAGAGGCGGGCGACCCCAGACATCTGTGGAGCGCGAGCCAAACTGCAAGATACAAAGACAAGAGCCCCCCGATTGCAGGTGGGGGCCAGGTGGACTCCGTGCCCCCCCGCCCTTGCTTGCCTGGCCTCTGGGGCAAGCCCCCTGCTGGGCAGCAGGACAGGTGCGGTGGCCTGTTGCAGGAAGGGGTGACAGCAGCAGCCAGAGAGGCTCAGAGAGCAGGTGTCACAGGCCTGCGGGGCCACACCCCCTTGGCTCCTGAGACCCTGGGGACGTGGGCCCAAGCAAGCTCTGAGCTCAGGGCTGGGTCTGCTGGTGCATCCCCCAGCGACCGTGTGCTCGCCACCTGACGACCACCCTGTAGCAGCCCCTCCAGGACAGTCCCAGCTTCCAGAGGCTGTGGTGGAGGTGGGTGGGGGGCACTCACTTGTCCAGGCAGGCTACGCTGAGGCACTTCTCAGGGGCCGGGGCAGGCGGGGGCGAGGGTGAGGGGCGGCGGCCCCCTGCATCCGTGAGGGGTGTGGCTGGGGTGGTGGGCGCAGGCTCGCTTTCCCGCAGGATGGAGTCAATGAGGGCGGTGGGGGACAGGGGTATCTCCACGACGGAGGACTGGTGTCCAGGACTGGCCTCCTCCACCCGGGGGCTCCGAGGAGGGCTGGGGGGCTCCTCCTTGACGCGTACCACAGGGCTGCTGGACAGTGGCCTGCGCGTGGGGGCACACACATCAGGAGCTGGCTCTGTGAGCCCACCCCTCTCCCAATGGGTGGGAGGACGACAAGGCCTCCACCTCTCGTCTATGCTTCCGCCCGGGGAGGCCAAGGGACTGCTGGGGGCCAGTTCGGTGATGTCGGAGATGATGGGTCCAGAGCTGGCGACGGCATCTGGGGAGTAGAGGCTGGAGCTGCTGTAGGCCGGGGAAGGAGCCTGCCATCAAAGGGAGGTGACCTATGTGGCAGGAGCCGCAGCGGCGCCTGCCCGCGCCCCCCCGGGCCAGGCCTGCTGCACCCGGTGCTCACCGAGTAGGGGCCCGAGCCGTGGATGTGCTCCAGGGAGTACTGCCGGCCATACTTGGGCATGGAATGTGCTGAACTGCCGTCGTTCAGCATCAGGGGGCTGTGGGGGGAAGGGGCGGGGTCAGGTGCCTCCCCCAGGCCTCAGCCAAGAGGACACAGGGTGGCCGGGGGCCCCGAGCTGAGGAGCAGCCCCCCCGCCCCCGGGCCTCACATTTTCCTCTTCACTCCCAGGATCCGGTTCGACTGCACCAGGGAGATGAGGAACTGGATGAGCTGCGGGGGAAAGGCACAGTCAGCCCAGCCGAGGACGGGACCCGCAGGCACCCCCCGGGGCCCGCCACGCACCTTGTTGACAACTTTCTGCTGCTGGGCATGCTTCTGCCGCAGGCTGGCCACTTCCCGCCACAGGGCCTCGTTCTCGCTGTAACACACCAGGTGCGGTCAGCAGGACTGGGGGGCTCCGCAGACACCCCCCACCCCCCGCAGGTGTGGGTCATGTGTGTGGTGCTCTGCCACACGACCAGGGCGGGACAGACAGAGGTACAGGTGGAGGGCAGTGAGGCTCCCAAGGAAGGGGCATGTTGAGTGCACCCCAGGATCCTGGAGGAGACCCCTGAGGGGGCACACAACCCGAGTGTCTGCTCCCTAAACCTGAGGCGAGGAGGGAAGGCCAGGGGTACGGTGTAGCCCAGCTGTTCAGGCTGCAGAGTGGCCGATGGGGGTTGTCGTGGGCCTTTAGGGAAATCAGGGCCCATCACGGGGCCTGGGAATGGCTCAGAAGGGGCTTCAAGGGGTATGAGTGCCACTGGAGCACCATCTTCCCAACGGGGGTACATGGTGCTGTGAGCAGGCCTTGCCACGCCCCCTGAATGTCTCAATGACATGGAATTGACCTGACCCCCTTGGCCTTGTCCCGAGAGGTACCCACGTCCTGGAGGCCAAGTTCACCTGGCCCCCATCTCCAGGTG